CTGTTGGGATTCCTCTTTGCTCTCTGTGTGTTTATCCTATAATTATTATTCCTGCTTCATTGTGTGTTGTTGGAGACTCTCTGTGTGCACCTGGGCTTGCACTGTGATAATGATGGTGAACTGTTTTTTGCAATGAGAAAAGGAAATAATAATAACAGATGAATATTTATATTTATAATTGCGTATATATACACATATATAGACTTATACCCATAGTTGGTGTATATGTTTGTGTTTACTGGGTAAATTGGGCTAATGGTTGAAATATCTTTTTTGCTTGTGGTTTGCTGGGTCATTGTGTGCTTTCCCCTGCACCGTTGTGGTGATATGCTTTGTGTAGAGAAAAGAAATAAATAGTAATTAATACAATTTGTATTCTTAATTGCTTGAACAGATCAGTGTACATAGAGAGTTGTGCTATTTTTTGTGCGGTTGGTGCTTCTCTCAATTTGTTTTTTCAGACATGTGTTTGTTTGGGCGCTGTGTGCTTTGTCCTTCACTTTGCTGTTGGATTGTTTTGTGCGGAAAAACAATAATAAGGAATACACATATATTCATAATTGAACATGGTTCGACCGAAAGTGAAAATGTTTTGTATTTCTGTGCTTTGTGCTTCTGATAATCATTCTCTCATTTTTTTACGGTTTTGAGGGGTTAATTGGGATTATCTTTTTTCCGTACTGGGCATTGTGTTCTTTTTTGGGCTCTTTAATCTTAATGAGCGTTGCCTTGCCTTGTTATTTTCCTAAGATTTGTTTTTTATCTTTTTCTGCGTTTTTCCTACTGTCTGTGTATGTATTTTATTTTTTATTTGGTTCTCTTCATATTTTTTTTCTTTGAGTTTTGGTTACATTGAAGGATTCAAGTAACTTTTTCGCATGATGTTGCTGCGACGACTGTTGTATTTTATGGCATTGCTTTTGAGTGTTGCCTGTGTATGTGTGGCGGCTTCTGAAGAGACTAAAGAGGACGGAGGTCCAGAATCAGGTGATGGTGATTGTCCTCATCCAGGCAAGACTGGATTAAGTTGTGAAAAAAACGTCGACATGCCTGAAGCTGATCGTGCTCATTGTGCGGACCCTTCTGAGAATAAGAAGTGCACTGCCGAGGATCATAAAACTGACGGCGAGTGCCTTGAAGCTTCTAAAACGTGTCTAAAATCAAAAGATCCAATGGAACCCCTGCCCATTGCACCGAAGGAAACTGCTCTTCTTAGCGAACAGCTTCGTTCTGGTGGTACTTTGAATGGCACTGGTGGTGCTGGAGGAAATGGAATGGGAAGACCAGGAAATGAAGAAGGACTTTCACCAGCTGCTCCTCCTGGCATTCTACCTCAAGAAAAAAAAGATGAGAATGAAGTGCCTCCTACAACGCAAGATGAATCAATTGCGTCTCAGGGTCATTCACAAACCACACGATCGGACGGAAGTGCAGGAGAACTTCAACAAACTCCTGCACAGTCTCCTTCTGGAGGACCACCATCACCTCCTGGTGGTCCCTCTGCTCCCGTTGTTACTTCGTCAAGAGAGCATACAGGTGAACCTGTGCGTGGGACAGAAGAGAATGAACAAAATCCAGTACTTTCTGCAACTTCACAGAGCAAGAATACCAATGGTGAGGATAAGGTGTCTGAACATACACACAGTTCTACCAACGAGAATGGCACGCAAGGTGCACGCGATGGAGGAAGCAGTAATGCTACACAGAATCAAGAACGTACTGACTCACAAACTCATTCCGAGAACGTTACAACACCTGAAGGAAGTACGTCAACAAATACCCAAGATGGTAATGTGGGCAGTACAGACACCACCACTACTACCTCAACCACCACTACTACTACTACTACAACAACAACACTTCCTCCTGAACTCACAAACAACAAGAAGGGTGATGCAGACAGCAGCAGCAGTATCAGCAGTTCTGTGTGGGTGCGTGTACCACTACTGATTGTGGTTACACTGGCCTGTATTCTTGTGTGCTGATTGTAATGCTGGTGGTGTGACTCAGGTCATCCTTTGTTTTCTTTTCTTTTTTTGCATGCATCCCTACAGTCTAACTAATCTTTCACCTGTTGGGATAATCTTCTTTTTTTTGTTTCTTAATGTTAATGTGTTTTGTGTGTTTTTGCTCTCTGTGTTTATCCTATAATAATTATTATTGCTACTCCATTGTGTGTGTGTGTGTTCTTGGAGACTCTCTGTGTGTGTGTGTGCACCTGGGCTTGCACTGTGATAATAATGATGATGAATGGCTTTTGCAGTGGAAAAGAAATAATAATAACAGATAAATTTATATTTATAATTGCGTATATATACACACATATAGACTTACACCCATAGTTGGTGTATTTCTGTGTTTACTGGGTAAGTTGGGCTAATGGTTAATATCTGTTTGTTTGCTTCTGTGTTTTGCTGGGTGGTTCAGCCTTTTTTTGAAATATTTGTGAGTGTGTGCTTTTGTTTTTGTTTTTACTCTTACTAAGGATATTGCGCTGTATTGCATTCTTTAACTGGTAGGTTTTACTTTTACGATGTGAGTTTCCATAGTGGTAATCGTTTTGTGTGTATCCTAACATGTTTGATACTTCAGTTATTTTCTTTTTTGCTTTTTGATTGTCTCTCTTTTTCTAGATCAATCTTTTTACTTGAAACAAACCCTTGTCTCTCTCTCATGATGATGATAATGCACCGTGTGATGTGTGTGTTGGCCGTTGTGCTGTGCTGCGCCTGTGGATGTGCCATGAGTAATGGTTCTGGTGGTGTGGCATCACTTGCTCCTAGTATGAGTGAGTTTCCGTATACGGTAAATGGTGGCACTACACATACATCAGGTGAGATCGTGTCAAGAGAAAATAAAGCGGAAAGGGATAGAGTTACAGATATAAAGGTAGAAGAACAGCACCACACACTACCTGAGAAACCCGAACAAACACGAGCCTTAGGTGAGCCCTTAACTGACACTTCTCACTCGGACAGCCGTTCTGAAGGTCGGACAGTTTCAGAAAGTGGCATGCCAGGCACAGAACATCTGGTGAAACCAACAACGACACATGTTGCTGAAATAACTAAACCAGTTGCTGCAGAACGTCCATTGTCAGCAGATCAGAGTTCGGGAACAACCACAAAAACAGCAGAGAGCCAAACTCAAGAACATCATTTAGCCGTGCCTAAAGAGCAAAATCAACCTACACAAGGTAACCAAGAATCGTCGAATAACACAGGGGATAACACTACACCTGGCGACCACAATACTTCCCAGCAATCGCCTACAGATGCTGGTGTCACTACAAATACAACATCACACGAGAACAACACGGCTGGATCTGCCGAGAGCCCCGATAACACTACCTCAGAAGCACCAACCACCACTCCATCACCTGCACCCAACACAGAGATCAACAGCACTATTGCCTCCGCAGTGCAGAAAAAGGCTAATGCTGACAGCAGTGTCAGTCCTGTGTGGATGCGCACTGCAGCACCGCTGTTGATTATGGTTGTGTTGTTCTCCGCTACCGTGTACTGAACGGTGGGACTCACTTGAGGGTAAATAATAATAATGGTTAAACTAACATAATCATAATTGCGTATATCCCCCATGGGTGAATAACCTAATAATCTGTTTACCAGCTTTCTATTTTAATTCGAATTTCTTTTCTTTTTACTTTTGTGTGTGTGTGTGTTCTTTTATCCTAATAATTCCATTACTTGCTTTTCCCGTTGAATGTGTGTGCAGAAAACTGGGCTGTTCTGCTCACTGACGGTATACATATCTTGCTAGTACACACAGATGTGTGTGTGGAGTAATTTAATACATAAACTAGAGCCGTGGAGTATTGTGTGTGTGTGTTTGGCTCTCTCTCTTATTTGGGTATTGTGTTGTTTTCTTTTTCTATTAAGGGTACATATTATTATCATACAATCGGGATATTCTTTTTTCTTGGTTTACTGTGCAGTTGATTCTTCTCTTTCTCTTTTCCACTGTGAGTATTTGTTGTATTGGTGTATGTTTGTTTGCTTCTATCATAATTCTTTTTCTTCCTTCTGTTCCTCTTTCTCTTTTTTATTAGTCTATTGAAGTAAAACAACAACAATGACAAAGTCTGTAATGGTGAGGTGTTACCTGCTCTGTTTACTAACTCTTGCACTGTGTTGTGCTTCTGGGTTAGTATGGGCTGATAGTCCTAAAGCTTCTGATGCCCCTATTAAAACTTCTACTGTTGGTGTTCCTTCTCGTGTTCGTCATGCTATTCCTGCGGCGGCAGAAGATTGGATAGTGAATATGGATGATGAAGCTCAGGAGGATGAGGATGACGATATTTCTGAATCTTCTACTTGTGATGATAATTTGGATTCTCATGTTTGTCGTACATCCGTTGCTACTCACAGATCTGGTGGGAAGGAACCTTAAACAGAAGAAAGATGAAAGTGAAGAATTGAAAAGACGTCAAGAACTGGAACGGGAGAAGTCAGTTCTTGAGGGTGAACAAGCAAGTCATCTTGTCAATAAACACAAAGGTGCAGAAGAAAGCAAACCGTTGAATGTTTCTGAACCACAGGTAGCAGAAGTTTCTCTTGGTTCTTCACAGTCTTCTCCTGATCAACGAGCTAAACAGCTTTCTTCTCGTTCTTCTAATGCTTCTGAAGAGCCAACTAAACTTGTTTCTAAACTTTCCAGGGAAACAATTACAGATAACACTCTTAATAGTGGTAGAGTGGAACCTGGTAGTGGTGTTATTGAGTCTGGTCAAGTAGGTGAAAGTTCTGGTGGTTCTTCTGGTGGGAGTTCAGGTTCTAGTTCATCCAGTGCAGCTTCTCATCCTTCTCCTCCTACACATAATAATCCAACACCTGGTGATCCTGAACCTGCTATTCCTATTCCTGCTTCTCCTGCTGATGGGAGTAGTGTGGCTGCAGCTGACGGTCAAACTGGAAACAGCGGAAACAACACAACAGGAGAAACTGCAGCTAACCACGGAACTAAAGCACCACAGCCTTCTTCTTCTACCAACCCTGATAAAGGTAATGTCAGTGAATATGAAAGTACGTTAACAGAGAACGGTACTGCATCTACAGAGAGTGAGTCCACAAACACCCAAGAAGGTGATGTAAGTAATACAGAAAACACCACCACCACCACCACAACAACAACAACAACACTTCCTCCTGAACTCACAAACAACAAGAAGGGTGATGCAGACAGCAGCAGCAGCAGTATCAGCAGTTCTGTGTGGATGCGTGTACCACTACTGATTGTGGTTACACTGGCCTGTATTCTTGTGTGCTGATTGTAATGGTGATGGTGGTGTGACTCAGGTCATCCTTTGTTTTCTTTTTTTTCTTTTTTGCATGCATCCAATCCCTACAGTCTAACTAATCTTCCACCTGTTGGGATTCTCTTCTTTTTTGTTTGTTAATGTTAATGTGTTTTGTGTGTTTTTGCTCTCTCTATGTTTATCCTATAATTATTATTATTGCTACTACTCCATTGTGTGTGTGTTCTTGGAGACTCTCTCTGTGTGTGCCTGTTGGCGTGCACTGTGATAATAATGATGAACTGTTTTTTATAGTGGGAAAGGAAAAAGAAATAATAATAACAGATGAATTTATATTTATAATTTCGTATACATACACATATATAGACTTATACCCATAGTTGGTGTGTATTTCTGTGTTTACTGGGTAAATTGGGCTAATATTTAATATCTGTTTATTTATTTTTTCGTTTTGCTGTGCATTGAATCTTTTTTGAGATATTTGTGAGTGTGGGCGTTTTTGTTTTTACTCTTACTGAGGTTATTGCGCTGTATTGCATTCTTTAACTGGTAGGTTTTTCTTTCACGATGTGAGTTTCCATAGTGGTAATAGATTTGTATGTGTCCTAACATGTTTGATACTTCAGTTATTTTCTTTTTTGCTTTTTGATTCTCTTTCTTTCTAGATCAGTGTTTTTACGTAAACCAAACCCTTTATCTCTCTCATGATGATGATGATGTGCCGTGTGATGTGTGTGTTGGCCGTTGTGCTGTGCTGTGCCTGCGGGTATACCATGGCGGCTGCTGCTGCTGTTGATAATGACAGTGCCAGTGGCCGTGGTGTATCCCGTGGGGCTGTGGAGGTGTCGTGCGGGGCCGGCGGTGCGCTGCGTGTACGCCCCGCTGCTGAGAGCGAGTGGCTTACATGCGGTGCGGGCAGCCGTGTGTCTGCATGTGGGAAGTACGCAGACCTCTGCCGCCAGCGTACCGCAAGGGTAAATGATTACGCAGCGACAACAGCGGCTGCTGATCCAAACGATTCCTCTTCTGAATCTGAAAAACCAGTTGATACCTCTTCTGAGTCTGAAAAACCAGTTGGTGCCTCCTCTGAGGCTGGTAATACATATGATTCTTCTGAATCTGAAAAACCAGGTGGCGCCTCCTCTGAGGCTGGTAATGCATATGGTTTTTCTGAATCTAACAAGTCAGGTGATAAGACTGTCAGGGCTGCTTG